CCCCCCTCCCCCCATCACTTCCCTGGCCCCGCCCGCCAGGGCCGCCCGCTAGGCCCCCGCGATGTGAAAAACAAATAGTCCACGCTCCCGCCTCGGCGCCGCTATCATTTTCGACGCAAGGCTTTCCGATGTATTGTTTTTTTTTTCGCGCACGGAACGCATCCCCCCAAAACACCGGGGTCGTCACCGACCCGGTGTTTTCGAGGGTGGCGGTTTCCATCCTTCTCATCATTTTGTTTTTGCTGGAGAAGCGCCATGCTTGTGTTCAAGACGAGGATCAGGAGGAGGAGGAGGAGGAGGAGGAGGACGAGGATCAGGAAGAGGAGGAGGAGGAGGAAGACGAAGATGACGACGATGACGACGACGAGGCCCACGGAAACCAAAGCCCACGTCGGGGCTCGGCGGATCGCTTCGGGCTCCTCGACGGTTGCGTCAAGGACCGGGGGGGGTGGGGAGGGGACGGTGTTTCTTTTCTCTTCCTTAAGAGAGGGCAGAGGGAGCAGCGCCCTCCGCCTGCTCCTGCTCCTGCTGCTGCTCCTCCTCCTCCTCCTCCTCCTCCCAACCTTCCTTTGCCTTCTCCCTCCTGCTTGGCTCAAGTCGGCGTGCGCTCTCGCCCCGACTGCTTGCACCCTCGGATCTCGAGTCGGCGTGCGATCTCGCCCCGACAGGCCGACCCTTTGCCTTGCTGGCACGCCTGGGCCCTAACCAAGCGCATGCATGGATCCTGTGCGCAACCGGTCGCCTGCCCGCCGTCGCCGCACGCACAAAGGACAGCGGCATCCGCTGATGGCTCTGTCCCGACTGCCACCATGGGCCCGGGAGGCTCTCTGCCTTTGCCAGCGCAATCTTCCAGCGGTGCGAGCCCTCCAGGATACCATTCTCAGCTTCCTCATTTGCGTCGACAATCTCTTCCAGGAGCTCGAGGTGGAGGCCCTCCAAGTGCGGGGGCGCAGCCAGGAGCCGCCACGCTGGGAAACAGTCCAGTCCCACGCCGCGAGCAGCTTTCACAGCAGCAGCAGCAGCAGCGCGACAACCCGCCAGGCGCCGTGATGCAAGCGCTTCGAGGCTTGTTCCAAGACGGTGACGATGAAATGAGGCAGGCGATAGGCGAAGCGATTGTTGGAGCTCAAAGGGGGGCCGATGAGCCAGGACGTCCCAACCCTGTCTTTGATTCTCGCGGCGCGCAAGGCCTCCGTGCGCCGCAAGCGGCCCGCGCAGCAGCCGCTCCAGAGCCGAGGCCGAAACGGTTGCGAGGCGTCGGAGTCGCCGAGGCAGCCGCGCTGCCAGGGCCAGCTGCCGCCCCTCTCGCGCAAGATAGCGCCCGCGCAGCCGCCACTCCGAAGGCGGCCGTCGTCCCTGCAAAGCTAGCCCAGCGCTTCGCTTGTGGGCGCACCGACCAGGCGCGTCTATACCTCGCGCAGAGTCGCCTCTTCCAGTTGGACCCCTTGGACGATGCCGAACCTATCAAGGATTCGCCGCCAGCGCCAGTTCGGGGGTTGCAGGCGACGCTTTCCGATAGTCCTGTTTACATCCTCGACGTGCTTGGTACCGCGTCCCGCGCGCAGACGTGGCGCCCATACTGCCGTCGCCGAAGGAGGGCAGGTTCACGCTTGGGCCCGTGCAGACTGCCCGGATATCCGAGCTGTCTGACGCGCGCTTCAAGTACGTCTTGCACGTGGCGTCTGGTGCCACGGGGGTCTCTCTTCGGAAGCGCCAGCCCGACGAGATTCCCGACGCGTGTCCAGGCCTCGGGCCAACCGTCATGTCGTGCCTCCACAGACATGTCCAAGCTAGTGCTGGCCCACAGACCGCGCAGACTGAGTCGTCGCCTCGGGCGGTGCTACCTGCAGGCGCGCTGCGCCACCAGAGCGATACGGGGCACGAGACGGCCCCCATGAACAGGAATGTTGGGCCCCACTTTGTTCTGGATGTCCCCTTACCCATAGAGTTCGACGCGCGCCCTCACAGATTCCTCGCGTGTGAGTGGGCAGGGGCTTCGGCGACTCGCTACGCGGACGATGGCGGCAGTGATGATTTTTGATCCTCGGCGACGTGGGCGGTGTCATCGACTTGATTGAGACCAAGAATGCAGACGCGCCGCTTTGCACCGTCCGCGCGGGCAACCAGGAGACGCCGATGCCGACGAGTCAATGCCGTGTGGCCCCAGGAACTAGCAGTACTGGACCGTGACTGACGAGGACATGCGCCGGGAGTTTCCTGGCGCGCTCAAGCTCACTCGCAAACGCTACGGCACGGTGTGATGGCACCGATGTTTGTGCTGGAGACGCTGCAAGGTTTCTACGAGTCGTTCAACGCACTTCGGCGACACCTTGCCGCCATCTACTCCGCCAGTGCGCTGGCCTTTCAGGTGCGTGCAGACCGAGACGCCACGGCTCCGTACTCTTTCGCTTGGGCTTTGCAGGCGGTTCCGACCAACAAGTGCTTGCGAGTGGTAGTCTTGCAGGCCTTCAGCGCCTTCGTCGACGCCCGGGTGCGGATCATGCGTCGCCGACAGTTCTTGTACAACGCCCAAGGCCTCCGGACCGACGGCAACTACAAGCTCGCAAAGCTCATCTTACGCCGTCCGGGGGCCGACGCCCAGACCGCGGTCATTGCCTTTTACGGGACAGACGGCAGTTTGCTGGACGTCCCCGCCCCAGCCACAGCGGAGACGTGGCCGTGCATCAAGCCGATATTTGAGCCCCTGCTGCGCGAGATCAAGGATGTCCGAATGGCGCACGGGTGCAGCTTGCTGGATTCCCAGCCGGTGTTCCACGCGACCGACACCTACGAGAAACACGCCAAGCTTCTTCGCCGACTGTACGCTGACGTGTGGGCTGGGCTGCGGGTCGCGAGCGAGGCGCCGACGCCGAAGGGCATGGCCGCGCGCAGGATGCTCCTCAGCTCAGACGAGATATCGGAGAGCTGCACTATGGGCGCTGCTCCCCTTGCCCTCTCTCAAGGAAGAGAAGAGAAACACCGTCCCCTCCCCAACCTCCCCGGTCCTTGACGCAACCGTCGAGGAGCCCGAAGCGATCCGCCGAGCCCCGACGTGGGCCATGGTTTCCGTGGGCCTCGTCGTCGTCATCGTCGTCATCTTCGTCTTCCTCCTCCTCCTCCTCTTCCTGATCCTCGTCCTCCTCCTCCTCCTCCTCCTCCTCCTCCTCCTCCTGATCCTCGTCTTGAACACAAGCATGGCGTTTCTCCAGCAAAAACAGAAGGATGGAAACCGCCACCCTCGAAAACACCGGGTCGGTGACGACCCCGGTGTTTGGGGGGGATGCGTTCCGTGCGCGAAAAAACAATACATCGGAAGCCCTTGCGTCGAAAATGATAGCGGCGCCGAGGCGGGAGCGAGCACTTTCGCTTGGACTATTTGTTTTTCACATCGCGGGGGCCTTGCGGGCGGCCCTGGCGGGCGGGGCCAGGGAAGTGATGGGGGGAGGGGGGGGGCGCCTTCTTGGTAATTGATTCGAGATCTCGGTATCTCGGCATCTCGGTATCTCGGTATCTCGACCTTTGGACACAGTTTGCAAACTTGTATCGGATAAAACGCTCCCACTCGCGGAACGGAGAGATCGACATCTCGAGTCTCCGCACAGCCCCGCCCTCGATATCGAGATTTCGAGATATCGAGGTATCGAGTCCCCGCCAGGCGCCGCCCCCGATATCGAGGTATCGAGACATCGAGATATCGAGATATCGAGATACCGAGTTCCCCCAGGACCTGCCCCCCGATATCGAGATATCGAGATATCGAGATATCGAGATATCGAGTCCCCGCCCCCCCTATATCGAGATATCGAGATATCGAGATATCGAGATATCGAGTTCCCGCCCCCGATATCGAGATATCGAGATATCGAGATATCGAGTCCTCCCGAACCCCACCGGGACGCCTTGCGACCACAATGGAAGTCCTGACAGGGGGAGGCGCCTGTGGGAATTGAGAGTAGTGTCGGGGCGGTTCCATCGGGACACGGAGTCAAGGAGCTCCTGAAGGAAATCGAAACGGGAACCGCGTCGCCAGACACCCTTGCCGCACCCCCACCGGGCGCGCGAGCCGACACGAAGCGGCGCCGCCCAGGATGCCAGGGGAGGGGGTCCAGCACTGGCGGAGGGACCGCCCGCGAACGTCCGATAGCTTATGACTGTGTTTTTATCCTGGCCCTCCATCACGGAGGAGGGGCGATCAGCGACCATGCGGGGGCACACACACACACACACACCCTTAGGGCCCTTCTGCCCTGGAACTCTGGTGGGCCACCCGACGTGGCAAGGCTTCGGAGGCTGGGGCGGGGAGCGCCCCGGGGGCGCCGCAGAAGGCGGCGCCAGGGCGTTCAGAACGCTCCAGACTGCTCGGGGGGGGGCCTGTTGAGGATGCGGAGGAAGATAATGAGGAGTAGGAGGAGGCATAGGATGAAACGGAGGAGGAGGAGCAGGAGGAGGAGGCGGAGGAGGAGGAGGAGGAGGAGGGGGAGGAGGAGGGGAAGGAGGAGGAAGAGGAGCAGGAGGAGGAGAAGGAGAAGGAGGAGGAGGAGGAGGGGAGAAGGAGGAGGAGGAGGAGGAGGAGGTGGAGAAGGAGGAGGGGGAAGAGGAGGAGGAGACCAGCTGAAACTGCTCGAGAGGCCTGCTGAGGCCAGCCGGGACCACCTGGGGAGGGTCTGCCTGTGCGCAGGCAGAAGACTGAATTCACTGAATTACCACGCCCATTCCCCTGGAACTCCAGTGGGCCACCACGGAGCGGTCATCACCCTCTATAGACGAGCGCGTTCCACTACTCGCAAAGAGACTACTCGCAAATGGCCTGGATCCCCCGCGGAGGATCTACGATCAGTTACATCAAACAGACATGTGTTGATCGGACGTTTGCGAGTAGGCACTTTACGAGTAGTGGACCGCGCTCGGGGAATCACCCTCTACCTCCGGGCTGCGTACCCCCTGACCTATCGGCCGGCCAGCCAGGTAGGCAAGCCCAGCAGCCCGCCGCCCAGAGCGGCCTCGCGCGCGGCGCTCCAGGGCGTGGTTCTCGGCCTCGAGGTCGCTGTTCGAGGCCTGAGCTGGGAGGCTGGGCATGGCAGCTAAGAAGCAACTACTGGGAGGGTTTCGTCGGAAAGAATAAGGCGGATTAAGCCCCATTTGGGAGCTGTTCCGCCAGAGGGGGCCTCGGACTAAGCAGGATTAAGCCGGATGAAGCGGGATGAAGCGGGATCACGCCAGATTAAGCGGGAGTAAGCTGGATCAGGCCGGCTTCCGGACCAGGACAAAATCAGAATCTGACCTCCCAGGAGCTGCGTCCGAACGGCAGGTTCCTGCCTCGACGACGTGGCCCCTGGTTTCTGACGCCGCGCAGGTCTCTCAATCTACAACGCTCTCCGCCGCCCGGCCCTGGTCCAGGCCGGTCATCGGCGGCCCTCGGCCTCGGACGCCCGCGTGGGCGCCGCTGCCGCGACCGGCACGACGCGAAGCTGGCGGTCCCAGGTGCTGCGAGGAGAGGTGCCACAGAAGCACCACTGGCGCCGCCGCCCGAGAAGGCAGGCAGCAGGGGGGGAGGAGCATCTGGTGGAGAGAGCGCGACCGAGGCGCAAGGTGGCGCCAAACGCTGGCAAGACTGGCCATGGAAGATCGGGGGGCCCAAGAAACTGGGGGTCTGAAGCTGGGGCCCTGGGAACCAGCTGTCTACCTGGCCGCCCACCGAACTGTTCGGGAAACGTGGACACACTTCTTCACAACAGACGGGAGGACTGCTTCGGTGCACGCACTCACTCGGCAGCAACAACTGAAATACCCAGCGCAGGAGAGTGACCGCCATGAGATCAACGACGATCCCCAGGTGCTGCACGACCCGCCCTGGCATGAGCTGCACCAGTGGGATGGGAAGGCTTCGGGTTGCGCACAGACTGCCCCGACAGGTAATCAGTGCCAGTTGGCCTCAGCATGCCTCCCCAGCAGTCTCAGCTGGCCTCAGCAGGTCCCCCGAATAGTCCCAGCTGGCATCAGCAGGCCCCCCGAGTGGTCTGGGGCGGTCTCAACATCCTGGCGCCGCCTCCAGCGGCGCCCCTGGGGCGCGGAGTGCCCCAGGGTGGAGGCCTCGAGGCCGCCCCAAGCTTCTCGGGGGGCCTGCGGATGCCGGCAGAGGCTGCCGGGGAGGCGCGCTGGGGCCGGCCGGGACCACCGGGGAGGGCCGCCGCGACCAGAAGCGTCACCACAGCGGGAGGGGTCAGGGGGGACATGGCGCGCGCTCGGATGTCGGGCGCGCGACGCGCCTGGATCCGCCTGTTCGCGGCCTCCTGGGCCCGGTTGCCGCGGTCCTGCGCGGCAGCGGCCGACGAACGGCGGCCCACTGCACCTTTTTGCTTGCTCGGGGCCGCCCACGGTGTCATGCGGTGCCCCTCCCGGTCTTTCTGCTTCTCGTTCGCATCCTCTGTCGGTGGATCTCACCCTGGTTCACTCAGAGGCCACCTGGATGGGAAGCCTGGCTCACTGCGTCCACGCGCACGGTTGGAATCCACACTCTTTCGCTGCACACTCTTCACACGGAAAGCCGGCACGTACTTCTTCGCGCACTCGTCTCGGATGAAAGCTCCGGAAGCCTCTGGACGCACCGAAGTGGCCGACACCCAAGACACGCGCGCGCAAAAGCTGGCCCCCCTGAGCAAGACCAACCTGCAAGACACGTCCTCACAAGTGTGTCCCTTCGCGAGCGACTTCGCAAAGGCAGGGCCCCCAGGGGACATTCAAAACAAGACCAGCCTCGTAGATAGGATCTTCAGCCCACACGGAGGACAGGACAGGACAAGACATCCGCATGAGGGGGTCAACGTCGCAACGCCCGCAAAGGAGCTGTGGGGTACGATTTGCAAAATCCCCTGCGAGTAAAGCTTGCCGCAGACCCAAACTTTTCATGGGGCCGGCAGGGGGCGTACTCCGATGCTCTAAGGGGCGAGCTCCGAGGAGGCCCCGTAAACGAGGCTCGCTACCTTGTGAGTGCGAGCCCCTACGGGTCAGTGCGAGGGTGGCCCCGAAATCCTCGTCGACCGTGGTTTATTATCCAGGAGTGATAAACCTAGGTTCATTATGTTCAGATGAGATTCCCATTGGATCATTGGCCTGTGGATGGATCGGTGGCCCCCTCCCTCCCCAAATCATTTTCATTCTGGAAGAATGCATATGGGGTCGACATTCCGACATAATGAACCAGGGTTGATCCCAGTCCAATATCCTTCTCAGGCGCCCCCCCTCCGCTGGATCATTATCATTCCGGAAAAATGAACATGAGTTCACGATTCCCAAAACATTACGAACCCCAGTTTATGTTGCTCTAGAGATAACAGGCTAGGTCGATATTCGAACATAATGATCCCAGTTTGGAGGCGCAAGGTTGGGGAAAAAAATAACATTAATCATTCCGGAATCATGAATCCGGATTCAGAATATCCGCCCATGGCTCAGCCTCCGTTATTATCATTACAGAATTATACCCCGCGGTCCGTTATTCCCGAGACATTAGTAACCCAAGTCAATATTCCCAGAATATTATGAACCCAGGTTAATATCTTTTTGGGTCGATATGCCCGGGACATTATAAACCAAGGTTGATAATGTTCCGGGAGGTACATTATGAACCCCAGTCAATATGTCCCGGAATAATACAATTTCGGGGATCTTCTGACCCGGGTCAATCCAGACACGGGCTAGCAAAAAGCCAAACAAACTGCAATGCAAGACAAAAAAAAACTGCAACGCAGGTCTTCGCAAACCCGGGTCAGCCAATATGCGCGACCGCCTCGCGGCCACGAGCGGCTCGCTAACCCGGGTCAGTCAAACGGGGTCTTCGCAGGATCCTGCAGGATCCGGTGCCCCCGTCTCTTGAGCCCCGAAAACCCCAGGTTCATAATGTTGCGGGGGGGACATTATGAACCCTGGTCAATAATCCCGGAACATTATCAACCCAGGTTGATATCTTTTGGGTTTTTTTCCTGGTCAGCGCGGGGGGAGCGGCCTACACGGAGGAAGAGGCGGAGGAAGCAACCGTCGGGGCAGGTCACGTGACCCAGGACCCAGGCCCCTTGGGCTGCTCTGCCGCCCTGGCGGCGGCGCCGCGGGAGGGAGGAGGAGGAGGAGGAGGAGGAGGAGGAGGAGGAGGAGAGGGAGGAGAGGGGGGGGAGGAGGAGGAGGAGAGGAGGAGGAAGAGGAGGAGGAGGAGGAGGAGGAGGAGGAGGAAGAGGAGGAAGAGGAGGAGGAGGAGGAGGAGGAGGAGGAAGGGAGGAGGAGGAGGAGGAGGAGGAGGAGCCCAGCGTACCAGGAGGATCCACTGCTCCTGCCTACCCCCTGCGGCGCGCCTCGTCGGGCGGCGGCGGGCGGGGCGCACCATTGACGGCCGAGTCGGCCAGCTCGGTGCCGCCCGCGATGGAGACGTCGCGAGCGGCTATTTCAATCAGGCGGGGCGCGATGGCGCCAGCGAGAGATGGTGCAAGCGATGAGCTCGATGGGTCGAGCGATGAAAAGACATCGGGAAACATGACAGGCACGAACGCGGAGGGAGGGGGAGCAGGCGGGGGGCAAGCAGAGGCAGGGGCAGCACTCGGGAGCGAAGGACGGGTGGGGGGAAGGCCAGCATCGAGAGTGGCGTGCCAGGTCAGATCTGGCTCGGCTGAGGAGGGCGACGCATGGGGGAGAGGCTGGGCCTGGGCGGCCTGCGGAGGGGCGACGGACGTGCGGAGGGGAAAAGATAAATCAGGCTGCTCATTTTCCGAAGCACACTCAGAGGGCAACGGTGGGGGCGACATCAGAGCCGTCGGCGACACCGAAGGGGAGCGCGACATCGGAGAGCACGTGGACATCGGTGTTGGGGAACGCTCGGATGCCGGGGTCGATGAACGCGCTGAACGTCGAGCAGCCACCAAATTCCCAGGATTTCGCCCGACACGTGGCGACTGCGAGCCCGAACACGACAACGGGACTTGCGATCTAACGCCGTCGGACCAGCGTCCCGAATCACGGCAACGTTCTTGTGGCGACGGCGAGCCCGAACACGACAACGGGACTTGCATTCTAACGCCACGGGAGAGATGCTCCCCATCGAGGCATCGTGCATGTGGCGACGTGTAGCCCGAACACGACAACGGGTCTTGCGATCTAACGCCTGGGCCCAGCTGGGGCGTCACGAGGCATCCAGCACATGGCGACAGTGAGCCCGAACACGACAACGGGACTTGCGATCTAACGCCGATGGGAGGCGACGAGGCATACGAACCCGAAGACGACAGCGTCACAGGCGGGGACGGCGTCACACAAGAGCAGGGCGAAATTGGGGCCGGCGGCGAAATTGATGAGCAGGCGGACGCCATCAGTGAAGTTCTCAAAGGCATTGATGGAGATGGGGCCGCCCTCAGAGTTGATGGGGAGCGCGCCATCGACGGGGGCGCGGAGGAAGGCGGGGGGGGGGACGCCGAAGCCGAAGGAGAACACGTAGCTGGCGGCGTCGCTGGAAGCTGAAGTTCATCATCAGCGTCGGGGTCCGACGGGATCGTGGCGACGGCTGTGGAGACGGTGGCCGTGTCGCTGTCCGACGACGAAACGGCAGGAGTGAGCCGTGGAGACGACCCCGAGGATGAGGATGACGAAGAACAGCGAATGAGGTAGTCCCGTCGGCCGAGCTGCTCGCGGTCGATCTCCGAGCACTTCAGCGGTGACGCGAGCTGCATCGAACGTACACCAGCGAGAGCACAGCTGCGGAGGAGGGACGGGGACAGGGGCCACACGGGCGCCAACCTCGCTTCGTTGTACATGCTGTATGCGGCAGCCATCGCCGAGAAGGTGGCCAGCGAGGGTTCAGATAGGCCCCATCTGGTCACCCACGGGAGCGGGAACGGTCTCGCGAGAGCCTGCCGAAGGGCACGGTGCATGACAGGGCATCTCGCGTAGTGCCGCAACGAGTCGAGTTTGCCCAGACAACCAAAAACGCAGTGCTTCTGGCCGTCAGGTGATATGATACGGGCCGAAGTCATCCAGCCATCAGACCAAGTGCGCAGGACGGCCATGGCCCACGAGCACGGGCAGCGGGCGAGGACGCTCTTGCACTCGCCCCAGTCGATGTTCGAAAGGAGGCCCGCCGACCTGCCAGCGAACTTCCTCAGGCAGAGCACGAAGAGGTCAGTGATGGGCTTGTTCAGCATCGCAGAGGCCCGCAGCGCTTCGTGAGCAGCTCTCTGAGGTCGAGGACGAAGTCGGCCGCTCTCACGAAGTGCAGCCAGCGCAGCGTCGGCAGCACGAGCACCAAAGACGGCCAGCGGGCCAGGAGGAGGGGTGCCAGCGGCAGCCAGCGCCAAATTCTCCACAAAGGCGGGGGCCAACCAGAAGGACGGGCACGGCTTGCCGGTCGCCAGCATGGACAGGGTGGCATCGTACGGGAAGGTGCGCGCGTGGTTCCGCAACTGCTGGAGGAGCCTCTCCCAGCCTGGGAAAGTGCGCAGCGCAGCTCGAGTGATGGTGGCGAGGGCCAGGTGCCCCCACCGCGTGCAGCGCGGGCCGCCCCACTGAGCGATCTGCGTCCAGAAGTCGAGGGCGAAAGTGCCGAGCGGGATGCGGAACACCTGCGCGAGCGTCGCCAACTCAGGCTGCAACACTGACGATGGCGGCCAGCAGAATTGGGCAACGTAAGATATGGTCGTGACGGCCCGAGTATTGTACAGTGTAGCGGAGAGGCTGGCAGGAGTGGTTCCCCGCCCGATGGCTTGGGCCCTGAGACGCAATTTGGCGACGGGGTCAATCCAACATGTGGACGGAACAACAGCAGGCCCCAGCCAGAGGCCCAGGTAGAGCAGCTTGGGAGCCACCTCGAACGAGCTCCACTCGGGGACCAGTTGGGAGACCCAGAAGGAGACTGTGGCTGAGAGGTCGGGCGAGAACCTGTCAGACAGCGGGACAATCTTGCATTTCGAGACCTTCAGGGCGAGGTTGGCCATGTCCGAGGCCATCTGCATAACCCGATACACATGAACTAGGTGCCGCATGGCCAATAACGTGCCCCCAATGTCGTCAGCACAGGCCCGAACCAGGCCAAGGCCAGCGGCCTCCACCCGAGAGGCCAGGTCGACCAAGAAGACAGCCGTACTCAACGCATAGAGAGTGCCCGATAAGGCACAACCTTGGATGATGCCGCTCTGGATCCAGAAGATGTGCACTAGCGAACCTAGGTGCGAGACAACCCCTTCCACCGATGCATATAGGAACGTGACGAAGGACACGAATGCTTCGGGCAGCTTGAGGGCCCTAAGGGAGAGAATGAGGAAGTCCTGATTCAGAGACGGGAAGGCCTGGCCGAAGTCCAAGGAATACAGCACAGGGATATCGGTAGACCCATGAGGTACGACCGACATCTGACGACTCGACACGTCGAGCTCGAGGATGTTGTTGCCGAAATTCCTACCCGGTATGAATCCACGCTGACACGGCGGGGCGAGGGAAGCCAGGGCAGGACGGATCGCCCGATTGACGGTGGATGAGATGAGCTTCAGGTCACAGTTCCTGAGGCCCAAGACTCGGACCTTGTCGGGGGAGCGGGAACAGCTGGCATCGCGGAGCTCCAAGTCCGTGACGTTTTTGGGCAGAAAAATCTGGATCGTGTCACTAGTATTCGCAAATAGCTCTTGGCCCCTGAGTACCCATCCAAGAGCGTCCCATAATACGTCAGCCCCCCAAGAGGACGCCGCCCACGCAGCATATGGGAGAGCATCAGGCCCAGGAGCGGAGTGTTGGGCAGACCGAATTGCACGACGTAGCATATTTTTCGACGGCGGGGGGAGGTGTAGGTCGGCTGGAAGGTCAGGAGCAAGGCGGCGAAGGTAGGGAGCAGCAGCAGCAACGTCCCACGGCTTTTTCTGGAAGACAGGGGCCCAGTGCTCCGAGAGTACCCGCAGGCGGTCAGATGGAACGCTGACCGCAGAGCCATCTGGCGCAATAACCGCTGAGAGCGATATCCTTCGATTGAGAGGGGACCAGAGACGAGCACGCCGTTCAAGCGCGCGAACCTGGGCACGAATCTGGACGCGGTCACCTTCACGCCGTCTGCGATCTTCAAGTTCAGCCTTCGCGGACTCAGCAGCCTCAGTCTGGACCTGGTCGACCCAAGCCTGGAAGGACGGCGGGTGGCGGAGCTCGACCTTCCCGTCTGTAATCGATATCATGTCAATGGCCAGGGGGTGGGAGTCCTGGAGCCTGGATGCCATACGCAGGTCTTGCCTCCAAACCACACGGGCCAGAGCACGAGCGAGCAGGAGGCAGGTGTGCGGGTGATGCGGCCTGTCCCGAAAGAGGGTGTCCCTGGTCTCCGCGGCCGAAATCTTCAAAAGCTCCTTGTACTTTTCAACCTTGAACGGGGGCGACATGGAGTCCCACGGGATGCAGGAGCACAGCCCCTCCAGGCGCCGCTTGAAACCAGGCTCCGAGAGCAGGTGTTTGGGAATGGGGCGGGACTCCACTGGCCGAGGCGGGCGGCAGGCAAGCGAGAGAACAACAGCAGCATGGTCAGAGATCTTTTTGTCAAAGACAGCCGCCGGCGTGCCAAGCGTGCCGATCTGGACATACAACTGGCAGAGCTGCCAGCCCGTGATCGAGCAGAAGACGCGGTCGATCGTCGCGCACGAGTCGTTGAACTTCTCGTTGTGCGTGGGGTCCTCGCACGCAATCTCCGTCAGGAGGGCGAGGGCCTGGCGCCACTTGGGCGCCTGCACGTGGTGGCACTTCGACAGCTTGCGCACGGCCGCCGCGGGGGCAGCGAGCGCGAGAGCCTCGCGCGTGGCAAAATTGAAGTCCCCGAGGACAAAGGTGGTGTACATGTCGGGGTCGAGGGCAGCAGCACGTTGCGATACTCGTATCGCGGCAGCCACTTCGCGAACTTGCTGGGCGGACAGACCATGATTGTGAATGTTGAAGATGTCGAGCGTGCGGCAGTCATCCCAAACACGGACTAGCATCGCTCGGCCAGGTACCAGGACAGTGGAGGATGACGACGGAGCGGAGAAGCCCTGACAAGCCAACGGCGGAAGCACCACAGCAACCCCACCCCGCCGATGCCCGTCATCTGCGTCGGAAATGAAGCTGGAGTGGATCGCGAGGCCTGACGCGATCGATCTGAAGAACGAGTCGAGCTGGAAGTGGTCCTGGTGCACCTCCTGCAGCGCGATGACCGTGGAGAGGGGACGGAGACTGAGAACATACTTTGTCTTCAGAATGGCCTTATCCCCGCCAGCCTGAAGAAGTGCCCGAGAATTCCAAGTAGCAATCCGAAACGTAGGCGCCGCTGACCCAGGCGGCGGGGGAGGAAGATGAAATAGTCCAGCAGCGCTAAAGACACCACTGGCTGGGGTCGGACGGATGCGTGAGCTCCTTGACAGCATTGCGAAGCGTGTCGATAGCCATGGCGTGCTTGGCAAGCTGCGCGGAGTCCCAGTAGATCTTGGGCGGGGTGTCGCCGTGGAAGACATTGACGTGCATGATCTTGTCCCACCCAATGGAGAGGACGCCATGCTCGCGGTCGGAGTAGAATCGCTTGCCTGGGTACTGCAGCTCGACGATCGCCCTGGCCTTGCGCAGGGTAACCTCGGTCTTGATGCGCTTGGGCGACTTGTCGGGGCCCAGGTGCAAACGGCAACGCTCGGCGCCTGGGGGGTCGACCCAGAACTCTTTCCAGCCATCGGGTCCCTTGAGGAGCGAGGTGGTCTTGCTGGCACGGCGCGAGGCGATGGTGGCCGAGCCCGAGAAGCAGATCTCGAACCTCCTGGCCGGGGATTCGCCTTTCTGCTTGATCTCATACTGTTCATCATCAAAGCCAATCTCGCCGAGCCACGGGCGCAGCGATGAGACCACTGATGCGAGGGTAGTCGGTCGCTGCGAGACGGCAACGACGATCGTGGTGTCCTCCTCGCGGTCGAAGGAGGTGGGAGCAGCCAGCTGCTTCCTGGGAGTCTGTTCAGCGATGGCCATCTGGCGACGAAGCTCCGCCAGCTGGTCTCGAAGATCCTGGATGGACTTGTCATGCTCGTCAGCTCTGCCCTCCAGCGCGTCGATGCTGCGCTTCTGCTCGTCGAGCTGGGCTTGGAGGCGCCTGTTGAGCGAGTCGAGCCTGGGGGCAATCGCCGATTGAACCTGGCCCTCGATGGCACTGGATTGTTTTGCCACCTCGCCCTGCATGGAAGACAACATCTTGAGCAACGTGTTGTGATTGGAGGTGATGGTCTTGGCGACCGACTCTGACACCTCGGTGGTGATGGTGTCGCGCATCGAGGCAAACTCCTCTCTGCACATCTGCCGAAGAAAGTCACCATCATCATCGTCATCATCGTGAGGAGAGGGAACAGGAGCACCGGCACTGGACGAAGCGAGGGCCTGGCGCTTGCGCTGGGTGAAGCGGCCCGTCCCCTGGCCTTTGCCCGAGCGCTCGCCGTCGGGGAAGGTGGGCATCTCTTCAAGCTCAGCAAGCATCTGGCGCTCCTGGGTACTGGCAGGCGCGGCAGGGACTGCATCAGCCATGAGACGCACTGGAGGTGGGAGTGTCCGCCAGCCTTTGACAGCTGGGTGGCCCTGGAAGAAGGGCTGCCTCACTCAAAACGGGCCTGTCCCGATCTTGAGCCAAAATGGCAACGGAGGAGGAGGAGGAGGAGGAGGAGGAGGGGGTTGGGCGTCAGTCGCCCAGCAGCGCGCGCGAGAAGAAGGAAACAGGCGGCCTGTGGGCCCAGGTGGAAGGAAGAGGGCGAAGAAAGTAAGACGAAGAAGGGCGCGGAGGCAAGCAGAATGTCGTTGATCACATAGACAACACAATCCCCTCCTCCCCCCCTTCCTGCCATTTCCCTCCGTTTACCCGCTCACGTTTCTCTACCTCGTCCGTTACCTACCTCATCGTGGCCCGCTTGGCGGATGCGCCATCCTGCTCCTGGAGCTCCGACTGGAACTGTGAGCTGCGCGCCGCCACCATCCTGAAGCCGCTGACGCCGGGAGGTGTGGCTTTAGGCAGAGATTCGGAAGAAGGATATCCAATGCGAGCCGATGTCAGTGCGATCGAGTCGCCGTCACTGCACCACCATCACCACCGCCACCATCATCCAAACTCATTATTATGTTTGGCTCCTGTCCTAGAGGACCTGCACATCTTCCGCCCTAGCGCCCGAGGGGACGCAGACACGAATGCGGCGGAAGCAGAAGGAACTCGAATCGAACGCATCAAGCCGAAGTACCAGTAGAAGACGCAGGAAGTTCTGCCGACTGCGTCGACGTTGGTGGGATTACCTCAAAGACCAACCGAACGCCCGAGAAATGCCTGGAAATCCCACGGCAAACGCCCGGTTGTTTCAAGAGAACTACTCCTGGTTCGCACGCCCCCCGAGGACCCTGCAAGTTCCGCGGCACGGCGCGGCGTTGGCACACGACACCACCACGTCACGCCCTGAGAATACCTTACTGCTCGTCGCGGCTCGAGGGCGGGGAAACAGACTCCAGCTGAGCTTCCCGCAGGCGTGCGCATCGCGCCGGGCATGGGGACCATCACGCCTGTCGGCATCGGTCGACGAGGGACGAAGGTAAGAGACAGACGAACAAAAACTCTCGTGTGCATAAACTTTCTAACGTCCGCGACTGTTTTTACGCTGGCGCCAGACCCCTCCCCACGCCCCTCCCTGGCGAGCAAAGCGCGCGGGATGCAAGGCCTCCGACCCTTGCTCGATGTCGTCCGCGGATACCTTCGACCGCCCAAGCCCTCACAATGGCCTGATAAAACCCGCTGTGAGCCGAGCAGCCGCAGCGGGAATGACCCGCCCAGACTGAGGATCGAGGGCATGCAGGCAACATGGAGGAGGGACGAGGACACCAGGAGCGCAAAAACACACCGAGGGAGGAAGAAGGCAGAGAGGAGGAGGAGCTGGGCCGCCCAACATCGCGCGTCGCGCCCCGCGGTGCGCCACGCGCGGCACCTCCGCGCCCTCGCAGGATCCCCCTGGCAAGGGGCACCTGCGCGGCCCGGGCCGCGAAGCGCGAGAGGTGATTGCCTTCGCGCCCCCTCCTCCTCCTCCTCCTCCTCCCTCCCTCCCTCCCTCCCTCCCTCCCTCCCTCCCTCCCTCCCTCCCTCCCTCCCTCCCTCCCTCCCTCCCTCCCTCCCTCGCGGAGGAGCAGCAGCAGCAGCAGCAGGTGGGGGAGCAACAGAGCCAATGTCGACGGCACGCCACCGCGGGGAGCCCATCCGCGCGTCGCAGCTGCAGGGCAGGGCTCCCAAAACTTCGCGCTGCGCGCGGCGCGGAGCGCGGAGTGCGAATAGAGGGGTCCACATGCGAACCCTACCCCTACCCCCCACGATTTCTGAGGGGGAGGGTGGGGTTCACTTCGTTCGTATAACTTCGCGCTCTCTCACCGCCTCCCAGGGGAGAAGAGGAGGATGAGGAGGAACCGGAGCCGAACCGCGAGGCGCGAAGCGCGAAAAACTTCGCGCCCTCGAGGGCGCCCTTGTGAAGGGGAACCGCGCCTCCGGACAAAAGCGAGGGAGCAACACGCCGACTCGGGGGCGGCCAAGAGGGGGGCGTCCAAGAGGGGGGGGGGGGGGGGGGGGGGGCAAATCGTGGCCGGCGGCATGTGCGCGGGCCCAGAAGGGGGACTCAGGGATGCAATGAAATAAGACGAGGCGCAACGAAATCTGAGGAAACATCACGGCCCCGCCATGATATCCACCCCCCCTGGTCATCCCCCCCCTCCTTGCCGCCCCCGACCGACAGGCTGCCGGCGGCCGCGCGTCACCGGTGCTCCTCTCCCTGCCGGGCAGGGGCAGCGGCACGGGCAGCAGCAGGCGAGGAGCACGGCGTCGGACCTCCCCCCGCGGCCCAGGCGGCCGCGGCGGGCGCCGCTCCTCTGGAACTGCGCCAGCTGCCTCGAGAGGTTCTCCATGGCCTCCCCGGCACTCGACGGCACCAGCGCCCGAGGGGCGAGCCAGAGGAGCCCCCTGAGACCCTCCTCCTCCCTCTCTCTCTCCTCTCCCGCTCCCCTGGCCCTCGTCGCCGTGCTCGTCGTCTGTGTGCTGTTCCGCCCCCTTTGTCTTCCTGAACGGCCCATCCGCGTGGACTGCACGAACAACTACACGAATGGAGCGCAATACAGTTTCACCGCCGCGCTCTCGCCTGAGACATCCTTACAGACAACGGTTGGTTCGCGCCGTGATGGCACGTGCGTTGGTTTCCGACACCGCGTGTATCACTCATCCTTGGACGATCGCAAATTTTCGATAGCACAGTTCGTTCGACGTTGCCAGAATCCGGGCCCCCGGCGGCGTTCAACCTTGAACGCCCGCGCTGGGGTCCCTACCGCGTCGACACGGCACGAACCTGCAGCACGTTTTAAATGTCGCGCTCTCGCCTGAAGCTTCCTTACAGGCTGCGGGCGCACAGCACTAACTCTACTTAACGACAGTTCAATTGGAGGGGGCTAGCTGCTGTGTTCGTACTCTCGCCTAGGCGCCGCGGACAGTGGCTTTGAATTTCCTGGCGGCTACAAACACGAAGTCACGCTTCCTCTGAAGCGCACTGCGTCTTGACAAGTCCGCCAGCCCCTGAGGGGCCATCAGGCTGCGAGGCTGAGGTGTCCCAATTCCCTGCGACAATTCCAGGTCACAGTTGTAGCTGTAGATGTTATGCTGTCTAGTCCCACCAGCCCTTTGGGCGTGAGTGGTTTAGGGAGCTTTCTCTGTTCTCAACCCCCCACCCCCCCTTCTTCCCCTTCGGGGAGGGGTTTACCCCTCCCCCTACCCCCTCCCCCTGGACCTGGAGAGGGCGCCCCGCGGGTGGTCAGGGGGGTCCGTTTCGACGCCTGGGAGGGCCAAAAAAACGACGACCCTCACGAGGATTCTGGCCCCGACGGGGGGATAGAGAAAAAACCCTCTCCTCTTCTGTGAAGCCAAAATCATTGAGTTTACTACGGTTTTGGCCCCATTTTGGCCTCCTCAGGGGGCAGCGCTCCTCGTCCTTGTTCTCAGAATCATTGATGTTAAGAAGGTTTTGGGCTCATTTTGTCTTTCTCAGGGGGTAGCGCTCCTTTGCGCTTCTGAGGAGGGCGCAAGAGGCCCCCAAGAGGCCCCAAGATGCCCCCAGGAGGCTCCCAAGAGGCCTCCAAGAGGCCCCCAAGAGGCCCCCAAGAGGCCCCCAAGCTTCCCAACAGCGCCCAAGAGGCCCCCACGAGCCCCCAAGAGCCCCCAAGAGCTCCCAGAGCAGCCAAGGAGCTCCCAAGAGCCCCGAAGAGGCCCAAGAGGCCCCCAAGAGCCCCAAGAGGCCCCACAAGAGGCCCGAACGACTCACCACCCATGACGAGGGCCCGAACACTCACAATGCCAACGCAGACCCCGAACGACTTCACACCACAAGGAGGGGCCCGAACGACTCACACCAGACGAGGGCGCCCGAACGTCTCACAACTACCGACGAGGAGCCCGAACGACTCACACACGACGAGGAGCCCGAACGAGTCACACCAGGAGGAGGGGCCCGAACGACTCACACCAGGACGAGGGGCCCGAACAACTCACACCACGAGAAGCCCGAACGACTCACACCAGGACGAAGAGCCCGAACGACTCACACCACGAAGAGCCCGAACGACTCACACCAGGAAAATGGGCCCGAACGACTCACACCAGGACGAGAAACCCTAAACGACTCAAACCACGAGAGCGCTTTCTCTCCCTCCTCCTCCGCCTCGTCCTTCTCCGCAGCCCCCCACAATGAGGTATGGATACAAGGAGGCGGAGGAAGAGTAACAAGGGAGGAGGATATGCGGGGGGCCGTAAGCGGACACACGCCTGAACGAACACGACGGTCGGTATGCCTTCGCAGGTTGCGTTGTGAGATGGGCTGGTGGGGATACGCGAAGGCGGTAAAGAGAGATATTATGTACCATTATTAGTAGTAGTGAGTATAGTGAGTAGTAGTGCAGTAGTAGTTAGTAGTAGTAGTAGTAGTAGTAGTAGTAGTAGTAGTAGTAGTAGTAGTAGTAGTAGTAGTGGTAGTAGTAGTAGTAGTAGTAGTAGTAGTAGTAGTAGTAGTAGTAGTAGTAGTAGTAGTAGTAGTCCCACCAGCCCTTTGAGCGTGAGTGGTTTAGAGAGCCCGCTCTGTTCTCAACCCCCTTCTTCCCCTTCGGGGAGGGGTTTACCCCTCCCCCTACCCCCTCCCCCTGGACCTGGAGAGGTCCTTTCGCGGGTGGTTGGAGGGGTCTTTTTCGACTCCTGGGAGGGCTAAACAACGACACCCCTCACGAGGATTCTGGCCCCGACGGGGGGGGGAGAAAAAACCAGCCCCTCTTCTTTGAAGCCAAACTCATTGATTTTACTACGGTTTTGGCACCATTTTGGCCTTCTGAGGGGGCAGCGCTAATCCCACCAGCCCTTTGGGCGTGAGTGGTTTAGGGAGCTCTCTCTGTCCTCAACCCCCCTTCTTCCCCTTCGGGGAGGGGTTTACCCCTCCCCCTACCCCATCCCCCTGGGCCTGGAGAGGGGGTTTCGCGGGTCGTTGGAGGGGTCTTTTTCGTCTCCTGGGAGGGCTAAACAACGACACCCCTCACGAGGATTCTGGCCCCGACGGGGGGACGGAGAAAAACCCTCTCCTCTGTTTTGAAGCCAAACTCATTGATTTTACTACGGTTTTGGCCCCATTTTGGCCTTCTGAGGGGGCAGCGCTCCTTAAAGCTCATAGCAAAATCATTGATTTTACAAAAGGTTTTGGCACCATTTTGTCCTTCTCAGGGGGCAGCGCTCATTTGCGCTTCTGAGGAGGTCGCAAGAAGCCCCAAGATGGCTCCAAGAGGCCCCCAGGAGGCTCCCAAGAGGCCTCCACGAGGCCCCCAAGAGGCCCCCAAGAGGCCCCAAGAGGCCCCCAAGAGGCCCCGAAGAGGCCCCGAAGAGGCCCCAAGAGGCCCCAAGATGCCCCCACGAGGCCCCCAAGAGGCCCCCAAGAGGCCCCCAAGAGGCCCCAAGATGCCCCCAAGCGGCCCCCAATAGGCGCCACGAGGAGCCCGAACGACTCACACCACAAGGAGGGGCCCGAACGACTCACACCAAGACGAGGCGCCCG